CACCAGCAATTGGCGACCCAACTATATTTCGAAGGAATTCATTCAATGTGACGGCTCGTACCCATTGTTTATGATGGCATTGATGAAATTTTCACTCGTTCGAGATTCCCGATTTCCAATCGTACACCATGAACATTTTGAGCTATTCAAATGTGATGAATCAGAAATAACGTTGACAATCAAATACGTTTTTACCCCGATGCGTCAAGATTTGAGGACACCCCCACTGTAGCACCAGGGGAACGGTTTAGTCAGCCGATCAACGTAGAGGGGCTTCTAATTTCTCGGTACAATGAGCGAAGCATTCACACATGCATCTTTGATTTCTGCAGCTCGAACGAAGCCAATCAGTATGTTCGGAATGTAAACGATAAATGAGACGCCATATTATTTTGTTGTGGATATTTTATCCTCCCCTGTGTTCACATCCAACAGTGAATACCTTCGTAGAAATATTTGTGTTGTGTGTGGGTTTTCGTTTGTTATTTGAAATGTCAGAATCGAGGTGGTAAAGAAATGAAACCGACTACTTTTAGAAAGCTGACAGCTTATTGGGTCACCATGCCTCTTCATTTATATTGGTTGGTCAGTGTTCGCCTGACGCGACCTTCGCTGGAGGTGTCATCTGATCTTGACGCAGAGGTGTCGTATTGGAGTAAAAAGACCGATTTTAATCAGATTGTAACTTTGGCAAAACGATCAGGACCCTGTACCCCATGCTTGTCGTAGGAACTTACTAATGAGGCCATGTTTGTAAGTGTTAATTCGCAGCCCCATGAAAGAGAACTTCTTTAAATTCTCGTTGGAATTTGATAGCCGTCGCCGCCGGTCGTGTTTCTAATGACTACTACACAAAGACAGTTGACATTCTTCCATATGTCCCTTGGGGATTCTTTTGCACATGTCATGAAAAGGTCAAGGTCACGAAATAGAAAAAAGTCACATCGGAGGCTTGTTGTCTACACGTTTTCAAAAGGTATTTATGCGTCATTAAACTTGGTATATACCTTCTATAGAATAAGGCCCTGTATAGGTCAACGAAGGTCAACGGTCAAGGTCGGTGTCCAGCTTTTTATGAAATATGGTTCTGTCCTTGTGAGGTTTCTGAGGCATGGGTACCTCTACAGGCACGAAACTTGGACTTACATATTGACTATGAAATCTTATATTACATTTTTACACTACTCTTCTCTCTAAAATTAAAACAACTAATTTTCTTGATGCTGATGTGGAATAGAGCTAGCTAGAGCTGGCGAGACTTGCTATTGTATACATGTATAGATTGTTGTTGTTTTTATAAAATAAATAACTTCTACAGTCATGGTGCAGGACTAGCACGAAACAGTTTGTGCATACATGGGTCTTTACAAAATGTAACAAAGGTAATTTCTATCAAAGGTCAAGGTCATCTTTGTGGTTATTATTATTGTCAGTTACTGTTGCATTTTTACTTGTACAATTGTTGGATCTTGATAGGTTGTTTTCATAAATGTCAATTTCGGGAAGTGATGTTTTTGGACTGTCAGTACATGGTGGAACATTAAGACTTTACACTTGGGGTAATAGCGGTGACGGAACTGCTTCGATATTTCCTGGTAAATGCTAACACCTCTAGTTATTTTTTAAGTTTACATACTCATACGTATGTATTTGTTCACTGTTCAGTTTGATCAGTGATTTCTGTGTAAGCGGAAACAGCGCCACTGTGACCAATCAGTATAAATAAGGTGTGCTTCATTTGAAATGTACTCGCAAGAATGTCGTCTGGCAAAGTCTGCATGGCGCCGAGTGAAGTGCGATCTAGCGATGGTCCATGCTTATTCAGCCATGTAGTTCTTGTTTTGTCTCACTATTGCTGAGGATTGCTATGAGGTTTATTTGACTGGTTTTCATTTCATTCAAGAGGCCCATTACGTTAATCCTATATTTCATGTGGGTATTTTCCCCTCGTCTTACACATACCAGAGACTGTTTGTTTCCGATCATCTTAGATAATACTGCCACCTTGGGGCATAAACAGCTGATAGTGACGTGACAGGCGCGAGGCGCCCTGCATAAACAAATCACCCTCGCGCTAACCAGACGCCATCAAGACATTGGGGTTCCCCAGGGTGGAGAAACTTCAGAAACACAAGCAAGAGAAATGGGAGACCCTTAACTGGTTCTTTCCTGTTGATATGCGTAGCGATTAATGGGTAGTCATGGGTGAGGTGATCGGATTTGAAGGTCTCTAAAACATTCAATATCACGCCTTAAATTCTTAAGTTTTTGCAGGTGAAATCCCGGAAGTGATGTTTAACGAATTTTTCTTTGACATCCGCTTAAACTGCCGAAGACAACACCTTCGCTTTAAATTTCCCCTGTTCCATGGCGAAAGGGCAGCCGAATATCTTGGTGTATGGATACAATTTATGAAGTTCGTTCTTCACATACCTTCAGTGTTGTACGAAGCTGCTCGAGCCCTCCCTCGATGTATAGCCTGCCTCGATGCAGCAGCATCTTGCTCTTGTATATGAATATATCTAATGCGGCAAAAGGAAGATCATAATGTACTACAGACACCAATCTTCGATGTAATTGGACATAGTCACCTTTTTCGTAATGAATATTATGTTTTGACATGAGGGTATTAGGGTATCTTTGCAAGGGGTGGCGAGATTTTCCAAACCCCCACAATTCGATGGACTGAAAAATGGTAACCTCTTTAGGCAACAAGCGCGAAAGACAGTAATACGCAGTTGCGATCCAGTGAATCTGTCAATACCAGACCAAATTTATGGTAATTATCGTCATGGTTTCTTCCTTTAAAATCTGACTAATCTGGACTCCCCTCTGGCTGAACCGGACTAAACTGCCTGTCCAGACAGATAACGTTTTAGTTACATGTTCAAGTAATAACACCCTCCGCCACCCAATTCCCAAGCGTTGTTCAGGTGCAGGTGCACATGAGCCAACTATGTCGTCATTGCGTCAGTGCTGTAGCCCCCACGTGTGTAATAAACACACACATACAGGTGTAACAAACACACACATACAGCTGTGTAGCAAGGGCACACTCCCAAGACGGCTGTGACAGCCACGACGGCGTTCTCGCGGGGACAACTCTCGTGTCAGTCCCTATTTGTTGCTTGACAATTATTTGACTTAGTTTGCAACAAACACTTGTCAACATTTGTCATGACATATTGGTCACCTGAAACTAATTTAGAGACCATGCCAGTGTTAGTGTGTACTGTTCAGGTATTGGGAATATGCAAATAGGTCAATATTTTTGGAGCCAACCTAGTTAATGGTTTGAGAGGTTGGGACATGAGATGGTCTGTTCGGTCTGTGTGTGGTGGCAGTAGTTGCATAACGATGGAGTTTCGTGATCATGGTGGTAATGATTATGATAAGTATGGACCTATTGAGGATCGTCATCGCTACAGTTTGATTTTATTCCGGGTGTTTCTAATAGATTTGTATAAAGGACCAGTCGTGTATGCAGATGATCAACAGGACTCTCTAATAGATCTATTAAATTGTCAAAATGATTATAAAATCGTTGCAAGTGTCCTGAACCCCTACCTTGCAAAAGCAAAATATGTTTCACAAATTATCTCTGACATGTTTATTAAAAGAACCAGTCTCGTAGACAACGTTCAGATATCACGTTAAATCTTTACTACAACTATTGTGACTTATCAATACATTATCTACACTAAACTTATCAATACAGTATTAAAGTGTGCGCAGCCAGCCACCTCATGATATATATAAATGTTTATATACTGTGAATGAAAATAATATGTAATATCTCTATATATTATGTATATCTACCTCTCATGTCTATAGTTGTATTTATTCCCATATGTAGATATTTTGTACCCTGCCCTACGAGGGTGTTCTGTACAATAAAAATTCTTGATTCTTTGATACAAGACGCAATCTTCTTTCAAGTTGTGTATAACAAGGTATAGTCTTTACAGACCCTGAAAAAAGATGCCATGCAAAACTTTAATAGTTTGGCAAGTCTTCAAATTTCTTTTAATAATCCTTCACATTAAGACAGATTTAAAGGCTTTATCTTGACAAATGATAGTTTTAAATACAACCAAGCAGGAAGTATGGCACAGAATAGGTTCCCAGTACATCAGCCTTGTTGCAAAAGACGATGTAAAAGGGTATAGGTTGGTCAGGATGTGTAGTGTGACGAAGCTGGTTGAATGGTGTAACCAGATGTCGTGGCGCATTGTCATGCTGTTCACCTCTGGTTTCCTGTGTATACAGACTGCTGTAATAGTTGAATTCTTGCTGATTGCGGCGTTATGTACAGTTCACTCACTCAAAGATCATCTGCGGTATGACATGAAGATACTGAGCACCCACTGTTCACCACCCTCCTTAACGTGTAACAGAGCGGGAACAAGTGGAGGCAGTTTGTACTATCGTCAACAAACATTTCTAGAACGGCATTCATCCACACATATAGCAGCTTCACGTTAGTCGGCGGTCCGGGGCCTGTGTCGACCGGAGCACGAGCTGGTTTAATGCGGCTGTTTTAGTCAGCGTTCACAGTGAAATTCTGTTGTGATGCTGCGGCGAGATATATAGACATGGACGCACACCGTGCACGACTTGATGACATATTGTGATAGATGAAGGTGCATTGAATATTGCCATAAAAGATTGATTCAAGGAATATTAGGTTGTAAAACTGTAGGACGAGTTAGTGTATTGTTAAATTATATTGTTTCAAATGAAGTCCTGTTATGTAAGAACTGGTTCTTCGCAAGGTTTTTATATGATCTATATATAAGCATGTTCTTCATTTTATCCTCCTCAGTGTTGATCATTCTCATATGAACATGTGCGCAGAAGGAATTCAAGAAATCATAGAGCGATTGACAACTCGATACACATACTGTTCCCTGGAGGTAACGAGGTCTCGCTGTGCACAGTATATCGTAAAGTTCCAGTTTCTTGTTTCTATCGTGCTAATGTACACTCTTTTGCTTCAGATTTCTTACGACATGACGAGACTTCTTCGATTCATGTCGACTACGCCCTTCGGCTCGATGGCAATGAACGACTTCCGGCGGCAGCAGTTTGTGTTGGTCAACGGCCAATTGAAGCTGTCAGATGTTGATGACGTGGGTTTTGATGAACCCAAATGTCAAGAAGATCGGGACTGTTCTCTACATTTCTCCAGCTCCAACTTCACAAAAAGGTAACAAGATTATACAAGACGGTTTTTGTGTGGGTGTTAAATTGTCTTTTAATATTTAGTATGAGGCCTCTATGGGACCAGTCATTTGATATTCTGGTGTGTGTGTGTGTGTGTGTGTGTGTGTGTGTGTGTGTGTGTGTGTGTGTGTGTGTGTGTGTGTGTTTTCAAGTCCGCGAGTCGTTGCAGTAGCCTTTGATCTAGCGAAGAACTCTCAAACAAATACATTTGAAATAGAGAAATTATACAATCTCATTAAAATCAGATCTTAGTTCTCGTTATCGCTGAACGAAGATCTGAGGACATCCCATTAAGGGTCACGTCAGAACGACCTGTCATCCAACCAATCAGTGCGTGAAAGATCATGAAAGTGACAGTAGGAATGTGTTTTCGAATCATGCAACCACGAAATATTTAACACGGGGTATTCCGAACGACAGTTACGGGTTTTATTATTATATCCATACAATCTAGGCCATCTATAAGCCATTCCAGAATGTTCTTATCAGTTTTAATTGTTTTAATCGAGAATACGTCAAAATATGTTTCGAAGCGAAGTCGCCAGTTTGAAATTAGTGTTGTAAAGCTCTAGAAAGCTGCCTTCTGATTGGCTAATGCCGATTTCTTGTCAGTCATTTCATTGGTCGGTCAAAATTCGCGAAAGGTCGTTCTGACGTGACCCGTAATGGGATGTCCCCAGATCTTTGTTTAGCGGAAGCGAGAACTAAGATCTGATTTTAATGAGATTGAGAAATTATACAGACTCTGTATTGTAACTAATGCAGATATTGTTTATAGGGTCCTTTGCCCAGATATAACTTTCTGTAAATGTACATGAACATCCCGACTTTGTTTAATTCACCATTAAATATCACGAAGGCATGATATTGACACGTTTTGTGTTTTGTGATGTCATTTCTTGGTGTTATTATTGATAATAGCTATTTGATATCCACGGCTCATTTTAAAGATTGAATCATGAGAATCTTTTCATTAGCACATAAAAAAATACCTCAGATTCTAAGTCGTTAGACTACCCAACAAGAAATTGTTATATGAAACCAACAATCGACAAGGATACAACACGTAGCCAAAAGGATAGTGCTGTTGTTTGTGTCTCCGATGCCGACTTGGGTTCTGTTCCCTGTTGTATTGTATGGCCTAAAGCAATGCTAAACGAATATACTCACTCATATGTATGACTTATTTTGCAGGATGCCTTGCCTACATGGTCGGTGTAATGGTTTCAACGAAATGCGAAACACTTTTAACGCTGGCAGGCACTTCACAACGTTCCTTCTTCCCCACGGCGCACCGCCACTTCTGAAGTCGCTCATCGACCGGGTTGTGGACGCCTATGAAAACCTCAGCTTGGACTCACGACAGCTCGTGGACAACATGGAAAAGATCGTCAGTTTATACAAATCAGGCAGTCATCTCAACAGGACTGCTGCGACCGTCCCCCGACCAGGTACCGTAGATACTTTGAACTCAGTGCTCTTTCAGACCTCGATTTTAATCAGCTGATAACATATTCGTGCATATCAAAGGTGGTACTTATTGACAGAGAAATAAGGACTAGGGGTGTAGAAGCGAATGAAAGTAGTTGTAGTGGTAGTAGTAGTTATAGTAAATGTAGTCTTAAACGCAGCCATTGCGGTAATACAGGTCATCGAATTATATCGGTGAAGTGAAATGGGGTTTAAGGTCGCGTTTAAGATTCTTACACATATATAGGGACGTGCATGTGTGGCTGGTTGTACTAGTCCGGACTAATGCCGAATTTATAGTGCTTGCCCACTGAGATACCTTGTCGCAGTTTAACATGGGTACCCCACTCAGGGAATTTCCGCTCTCCGGGCGGGCGCTCTACCACTAGACCACGGAGGCGGTCAATGAAAGTAGTAGTAAGTAGAAAGTAACGGTAGTTGATATTCCAATTACATCACAATGAAAAGTACAGTATTGCAGTTTTTGACAGGAATACACATTTAAGAATCTTCTATAGACTCCTTGTTCCCACAGAGGCTACTTTGTGGTTATCAGTGCCTTTTGTGAAACTGAGATATTGTCCAAGCAAAACTATTAGTAACTTTTGTTAAAGGAATCAGAAGTGTTCATATGAATGAGAAGTAGACAAATTTCAACAAAAAGTATGACAACACTCAATGCACATGTAAGGATGAAATGAGTCAAAGGAGTTGATTTAGTTGTTTTCGGGATGCGTTTTTTTAATATTTCAACATGAGCAAGTCTTTAAACAAGGCTGGTGTTTAAAGGAGATGCAAATAAACTGAAGTACAAAAGAAAGTACACACCCCTAAAATATCATATATTACGCATATGGTTGAAAAAGTTGTTACATTTTTGGCGCTATCGTAATGTAATGAACAAAACCATTGAGAGCATATCGCAGAAACGTAACCTTGACATTATGATAGGCAACAAAAGCACACATTGTGAAAATGGCAATTTTCTCCATTTGCACGTGCAATGTGCGTAGAAACAGTATAAAAGGCAGTGGATTCTATCGTTCATTACACATTCAACGAAAAAAACACAAGACAAATGCCACGTTTAACAGCAGCGGAGCGAGAGAGAGCCGTGGGAATGTCCCAAGTGGGGGCGTCGAACAGTCACATCGCAAGGACCCTTGGCTGCACCAGGCAAACCATTATCAGACTCCTTCGTCGTGTCAACCAGACTGGCCAGACATCCGACCGCCCAAGAAGAGGAAAACCGAGAGTGACGACCCCTGCAGAAGACCGGTACATACGCACATTACACCTGCGCAACAGGTTCCTCACCATGGCATCAACAGCGTCGACAGCGTTAGGTCACCACATCAGCAGGAACACAGTCATGAGACGACTACAAGCTGCCGGTATCCGGGCTTATCGACCATTCCGTGGGATGACCTTGACCGCTCAACACCGTATCAGCCGTCTTCGCTGGGCAAGAAGGGTCAGACGCTGGCAACGTCGTGACTGGTCACGAGTCCTCTTTACCGATGAAAGTCGATTCAACCTCTACCATGCTGACGGTAGAGTGAGAGTCTACCGACGTGGAGGCGAGCGACTGGCTTGAGCATGTGTCCAACAATTGCATCCTTTTGGCGGAGGCAGCGTTATGGTTTGGGGAGGCATTTGCGGCGAACAGAAGACGGATTTGGTCATTCTCCACCAGACCCTGACAGCCCAGAGGTACAGGGACCAAGTGTTACAGCCGGTGGTGATCCCCTTCATGCAGGGGCAAAGGCAGGGGTTTCTTTTTCAGCAAGATAACGCCCGACCACACACCGCTAGACTCACTATGGACTTCCTGAACCGTCAGAACATTCAGCTTTTGCCTTGGCCGTCACGCTCTCCGGACTTGTCACCCATTGAACACCTGTGGGACCATCTCGGTAGACAGTTGCGACAACGTGCACAGCCACCAACCACCATACCACAGCTGGAACAGGCTCTGCGAGAAGAGTGGCAGCGGATCCCTAATGACGTCATCCGACGGTTGACCTTTTCCATGAGAAGGCGTGTCCTGGCTTGCATTAACTCAAATGGGGGTCATACGAGGTACTGAGACCACTCGCATGGCCTTCATACCTGGGACTGTCATCATTTCTACAAGTGTGATTTTTGATGAGTGACCGCCTATGGACGTTATTGTCAACTGAAAAGTTTTATGTGGCCACAAATCTTTAAATCCATTCTAAACATGTTTGAAAATGACTCAACAATGACATTGAACATTACAATCACAATAAAGTTTGCCCTGTCTTCTTTTACTGTCAGAATAGTGGGGTGTGTACTTTCTTTTGTACTTCAGTTTATATATACAGTATAAAGATATGATACAAGATTTATCTTGGGTCACGGATTTGCCCATACTGAAGTTTCATTTGAAGTTTAAAAAACGGCTATGTAACCCGTTAAACATACTTAAATTTAATCATATCAGAAGTATAAAACATGCAAGTGGAAGTCAGCCATTTGAACATGTCTGATTAGTTTCATGCCAATACTTGAAGTTTTCCGGCAACTTTAAACTTTTGACATTTCCAGTGGGCCGTGAAGAGCCCTTGTCCTACCCCATCCTTTGTTTTCCGTCCGGGTCACCGGGTTTCACTGTACATCGCGGGTTTTGAATGTCCTGATCAAACTTGCTTGAAATGTAATTAGGCCCGAGGCTAATTCACCCGTAGATTCAAACACCTTAGTTTTCCCTACGTATAAATGTCATGTGTTTACCGTTATATAATGTTCTAGTTAATGAAACATCTGCCCCCTGCCACAATCAAATTAAAGATAATTGTCTTGTCCTATTTTCAGCATTCATTCACTATAAGGAGAGTGATCTCCCCGGACAGTTCGACTATAGGTGTCGCTTCTCGATGTCGGGAGGCGGATGTACACTGTCAGTGTTTGACCGACAGGAAGCTGAAGACCTTTGTAACCTTGACCCAGATTGCAAGGGATTTGTCTTCACAAACCAAAAAACATGGACAGGTTAGTTTACAAGTATAAAGAATTAAAACAAATCTTCTTCAATCTTAAGAGATCATTTATTTGATGGGTTTTTTTATGAAACGTGTATAACATTGACCATATCGTAGACAATCTTATCTGTCTTTTTCGCCTTTGAGAAGGAGGACTTCGTGAAGCGTTTACCTTATTGGGCAAGTTCCTCGTAGCATGTGAGTGCGTGTGATCCTTGTAGGAGTGACCCATTTGTTGGCCCCAAGTTCTGCTAATCTGTAGTAATGGATCAATTATGATCCTTTATGTAGTTTCCTTAATCTTCCACGCCATAGGGTGTATAAAAAGACTGTATATCAGTGTAATACATAAAAGGAAAAGGGATAGGGGGCTTAATGTGAGAGTCGGAGATTGAAGAGTGATGTTATTGCTCATGCTTAATGCAATTGTTATAGATTTGTGAAAGCTCGTTTTATGCCCAACCTCCTTTTTCCACCATTCCATAACAAATAAGTGTCTTTGATGTGAGTAATAACAAAAAAATTCACTTTCAAATAATTACTTTTCCTGTTACAGGCCGGACGATAGTGCATTTAAAGAACGGAGTAGCAGCCCCCACACATAATTCCAAAACAGAGCTGTATTTGCGACCATCCTGAAACGCCCTGGACAGAAAAAAAACGCCGGTTCGCGATTTTCTGTGAAATACCATTGCTGTGATATGGATCGGACAATTTCAGTTCCCACATTTCATTAATGGTGCTCTTTTGAAAAATCAACCCCACTCTCTATCCATCACCGGGACAATCCGCCAGAAGGAATCGGATTTGATCAGAGTGAAGCCCGAGCGAGCGGATCAGCGGAAGTTGCAATGCGTCGGCACGCCACGCACGATCTCCACGTGCTTATGACTCATGCTTCTTGTAGAATCAAGAGGCTATGTTGCAGATTGGAAACTTTCGTCGAAGGTGTGTGGAGGGTTGTGGCAATTGAGTAGAGCAGGGAAGGAATTGATCTTCTTCAGGAAATAATAAGGGTGTTCGTAGATGGATGCTAGCACATCGGAAATTGCTCTGACTGAAACGTGCTTTCTTGGCGCCTAGCTGCCACAGACACTTTATAGGGCTATTATTGTTTGAGGCCAATTGAAAACTGCAGAGGGAAGTAATTTGACATATTTTTGAAAACTCGAATACAGACTGTTATTCTCCCTTTAGTCGTTGATAGGCTTCGTGTAACTACCAGAGCGAATACGGTGTTAGGAGCTTGATGATACTGTGGTTGTGTCCGGGGATTACATGGGCAGACAAGGATCAGGGTCTGTGGACCAAATGAATACACGCCTTGATAAAAGCAGTGAAAATACCAAAACCAGACGACATCAAGTGCGTCGCCATTTTGAATATCCCCTTAGTAGAGATATTCTGTTAGTTTAGGTGATGATCGTGATTATTCCAAAGCCTGGGAGATTGTGATGTTTACTTTAGCCGAAATCCAACAATTGATTCCGTAAGAGAGCCCCAAATCCCCTAAATTGAAGTTGAATTAAAGAATTATATCCCCAGACGGGAAAATCCATTGTTACAACTTATTACGAACTCGGGAGCGTTCCCAGTGACGTAAATCCAGAGACTGTTTTGTGTCCTGCAGATTCAGTGATTGGTGCTGTTGGTGTGGACTCGAGAGAAGTACAGAACATATCAAAACATTCCATTGTGTTGTTCAGACGGTTTGAGTGAAATCGTCTATAAATAAGCCATGTTCATTGTCATAATGTTGAACTTGCTGGTAGAGTGCGTTGTCAGGACAATCAGTAGGTGTCGGCACTAAGCGTGTTGTCGGGAGTTCGCGTTTTAGGTGTGTGAGGAGTCTTCGTCAGTGATGTAAGGATGTCGATATTTGTTTGTTTAATATAAATCATTTTTGTAACTATTGTTTGTTGGCTTTTTATTTACATTGTAATCAAGCAAGGGAATCATACACCGTCACACAGACACGGAGATCTATCTTACATGTATACAGGATTGTGGAAACTAGTACACTCATTTCCACCCACCTCTAAACAGTCGCAATTTTGTCACAATGTTTTGTTTCCGGATAAATCAGCAAGAGATTTGTCAGGCACAAAATGGGCTGGATGTCTGTCTGTCAATCAGTCAGGTACAATACTAGTAAACAGACGTTGAGATAAGCTGGTAGCGAGCTATTCATAAGATATGTCAAATATGAAGAAATATGTGTTGAAATTTGATTTCTGTTCGTGGTGAATAACAACAATTTATACTTCACTCGTCCAACAGACATGGTCGGACATGATATTCCCAACCACTACACCAGGTGCATCTCAATATACCAGCATCAGAAACAAACGGACACACAGGTCCGTTGCTTTATGTGCCTCAAATGCAAAGGTTGTGTCTTTTGACTGAAATGACGTGACTGTATCTTTGGACTGAAATGATGTGACTAGCTCAGGTTTGTTTGTGTGTTTGTTTGTTGTTTAAAGCCGCACTCAGCAATATGCCAGCTATGTTACGACAGTCTGGACCAGACAATCCAGTGATTGAAGTCACATGCATCGACCAAGTCAGCGAGCCTGACCACCCGATCCCGTTAGTAGCCACTTACGACAAACATAGTCGCCTGTTACGGCAAGCATGGGTTGCTGAAGACCTATTCTTTACTCAGATTTGCACGGGTCCTGTATCTTAGAACTGAAATGCCTTGACTGTATCTATAGTCTTGAATGTCATGGCTAATACTTTTGTAATTTCAATTAAATTCCGTCACTCGCTTCAAATGTTGTGACTATGCCTTAAACTGAAAGGCCACACCTCTGTCTTTGGATTAAAATGCCATGGCTCTGATTGGCTACAAGTGACGTAGCTGTGCCCTTACTGCGTTAGGCCTGAAATCACCTCGTACCTTTGGCCTCGGGTGTCTTGCCTCACATCTGTTTTCTGGTTCTTCGCCTGCACAAAACGCTGGGATGGCCTTTGTTTACTAAAGTCCTGGTCCTGGTTCATGGTTTGGGTGTAAGGGCTCATTCACAAATTCAGGATTTTTACTGCCGTCTTTGATAGGACCATTCCCGATTAAAATTTGTCAAAAGTCTGATCAAGATGCTGTGGTTCGTGGTGGGAAATTCACAAACAATCAGATATTGTTCAGGAAGCGTCCCGATTCAGCCGTTTCCAGCCGAATTCGACCCGATTCTCCCGTTCTCAATCCGAATCTGATCCGATTTGTAACTTTCGCATGGTAAAAAACGACCGAATCTGTCCCGATAGCGTCCCGATTCTCCCGAGTGCGATCCGACAGAGATCAGACAGTGACCGGACAGTGAACCGACAAAGACGGTTCGCATTCGGCAAGATCTGGACGCAAACGGGACTCAATCGACAAGAAATTGCAATTAACAATTCATGCCTGTTCATCACGACAGCGTAACGACATTGTTACGATTTTGATCCGATACAGCAGAATCAGTCACAACATAACGGGATGCACCATACTGTCGGGAGTGCTTGGCCGACCTCTCTGGACCTTTCCCGATCCGTAGGACTCTGTTACTGTTACGAATGGATACGACTGCGTTCAGACAATGATAGGACAATCGTCACATTCCAGATCATTAAGGATACAGTGATAGTAATCCGACTTTTTCACTCTTCGTGCCGTAGCGCTGTCTGATCTCAAACGGGAGCCATAATCGGCAGTGTGTGAACCTGGCCTAAGAAAGGTTTCATTCAGGGATATGTTGCTTTAAACATAGATGATATTGACAATAGAACCAACATCCACACGATTCTCACCAGAATATCCGTCAAATAACTCCATTTACATAATACACAGTAAGCTAAACTACCACAAAAATGACGCGAACAACCAACAAAGTTATTAAGTACGTGAGACATGTTACGTCAGTTGTCATGGGAAAGCTTCTTAGGTCAGGGAAAATAACTTTATGTAATCAGATACAAGTAGGATCTGTTTTATTTTAGTTTAGTTATATCACGGCGTGTCAACTTGGTGAGAGAGGAAAGCCCGAAGTATTGCAGGTCTAAGACGTGTCTTATGTTTCACGAATGAGCTTCACACCACAAATATATTTATTTTTAAAACAATATACGAGACAACCGCATTTGCGTCTAACGCAGAAACGTCCCTTTATCGTTCAACGATACATTCTTCTTGAGTTTGAATCCCATTATATGATCATTGGCCTGTCAACACCACAATCGTGCTCTTGGATTTCACTGAAGTGGTAAACATCTTGCATATCCCGTGGAGAGTCTGGTTAAGAATTACTCCCAGCAGTCTGTGCTAGTCGCTCGGTGACTTGGTTGAAAGCATGTCATCGTAGCCCGACGACTCATAATTTCAGTCGGGGCGGTCGGGTAGCCCAGTGGTTAAAGCGTTCGCTCGTCACGCCGAAGACCCGGGTTTGATTCCCGACATGGGTACATGGTGTGAAGCCCATTTCTTGTGTCCCCCGCCGTGATATTGCTGGAATATTGCTAAAAGCGGCGTAAATCCATACTCACTCACTCACTCATAATTTCAGTCACTTGCTTGTCTTGTCCCGACTCGTTTAGTTTCATGTCGCCGTCATACAGCTAGTATATTGCTGAGAGGGGCGTTAATCAACACACGCATGCACACACACGAACTGCACGGCCGGGAGTCTTTCTCGCCGTGATATAAATGTAATATAAATCAAGACAGGCCATTGCCACTAATCCGGTTACGGAAAAATAATGAGGTCGGGGGATTTTACTTGACAAGTCTGAGAGAGACCTTGTATGGAATTTTCTAGTTTAGGTACATGCACGTGAACACTCCAACGGCATCACCATTATCATGTCAAAAGTTCGAGAAATTCTTCCCCACCGCGTTAAAGCCATTATGAACTGCAATCAGTCGAGGCGTTGAGAGATGGCAACAAGATGCTTCCTGTCCCAAACAACATACGACAGCTTCCTCATTTCATCTGTTTATTCTGTTACCAGGCAACCAAATTGCCCGCAATTACAAGAATCTCGTAGTATTAAGTAGTCATTGTGATCAAAGAATTTTAAACTGCACGAAGCTCTCCAGTTGGATGGTTCTTGTCAGGACTAACATGCATTCAGCCCAGAAGACGCTCCTGCAAGTTTTACAACCCGGCAGTAATAACAGGGCACTCTAGTGTTCGTGATCGAGGCCACACTTTAGTGTATTTGTGTCTCAGATTTCTTCACCAAAGTAAAGAATTGACAGCGATTTGTATAAGGTCACGTGGACATAAATTTCAAGTGATAATATTTCGAGGTGTGTTTCCGTCGTCCGTCCGTCGCTAATTTTTACATTGCGACATATGCTGAAACACCCCAGCGATGATGTCTCTAAACAGTAAACACGGAATTCTGATTATATTTGAAACAAGGCTGCCATTCAGCCATATTGCTTTTGCGGTTACTACGCCAGTAGTAGTATTATGAAATTTGCCATGCAGTAAGAAGGCGGTATTCCGACTAACACATACCACAGTCGTTGGCGTATTGTGAATATTCCTATCGCTTCTGTTCTCTATCTATTCTATGTTCTTCTCTTTCCCCAATTACAATCTTTTTACATTTAGTATCTGGTCAAACAGATTAATAAAGAGACCCTAGCAGCCTCTAAATGAATTAAATGTAGAGAATATCATGCAAACGTCCTGGTCGATGTATGCGTCTTATTCTTCTTGTACTGTATTACGTTATTGAACAGACATTTAAACCATATCGAATTTCAGATTATTAGCACCAAGGAGCTCTTTTGTAGCGTATTGAATCTCATGAAATCACCTAAGCAATGATAATTTATACACAGAAATGGGAAGATGGATAGGAAGTCTTGGTTTTCTTGGAAAGTTCTAAAGTAAGAAGTTAACCAAAAAATGCTCTTGATACAAAAAATGCTACATTTAACTAATGTGGATAAAGATACAAAGGTTAATTATGTTTCCTTCTTTTCGAAAAGTCTGAACAAATAAGAGTAATAAGAAAGGTATAATCTATGCTGCCTATTCTGTGATCTGAGAGAATAGCTGCTGTTATATTTCTACAAGGGGTAGATACACACACTCACACGCTCACACATACACAGGCCCACTTACTCATTCTCAGATTCACAGGCACACTTACTCATTCATTCACAGATGCACAGGCACACTCACCCACACACTAACTACCACAGGGACAGATACACACGCTCACTCACTCATTGATATACACACTCACTCATTCACAGATTCCCAAGTACACTCACTCATTGAATGACATACACTCACACAGAAAGACTATTCAACATCTAAACCTGTAATGTGTAATAAAAGTGTTCCCTGACAATTGCTGGCTGAACAACCTAAGTGAATCCTAATAAACACACCTCCGTTTCACACTCTAAATAAACAAAACAATGGGAAACCATATAACTATTCAGTCGGTCACAATTAGTGTTACCATAGGAACGGTTTGATTGGTTCAAAATCTGGCAATCATACAGCTAACGCCAAGGTTCCTTGCGCAAATGCGGTGCTCACGGTTTCCTGGGAAAGATCGAGCTAAGCGTTGACAGATTTCTTGCAAAATCTCGACGTCTAAAAGCAACGTTTATTGAAGGTTTTGATGAGTACATTAACATGCTTCCGCTCAAAGCATTTTGTGAGATTGAAACTGAAAGGTTAAAACGTTTTCAAAAATTACTATCAGGCTTAGTGGAAGACTTCTTAGACCGTTCTGTGATTCACCTCCACAAGTGCTAAACTGACCCCTACCACGAGAACCAGTTCACCCCATACGCGCACTTACTCGGTCTAACGCGGCCACCACGTTGACGCCATGAGGCACTGGTGTCGTGTGACAAAAGCTGTAATATCGATAAAATGGTAAAAGTTCAAGGTTTAG